TCGTATGTGTCTGTAAATTATTTCTGTGATAATTGAACAGGGTGGGAGAAGAGACTGAAGCGAGAATTGAGGAACAAGATGGGGTTGCAACTAAAGAAGCAAAATATTTTACAAGAAGGCCTGGAAAACAGTATGAGGCAAAAAATAAGATTATGACGGGCCAAACTGTTCTGGACATGCACCGGTCTGTTTTGGGCGAGATAAGGATTTAGGCCATTGAAGAATATAGCCTCAGCACAACGCTCTTGAAAACTGTTGGCTTTTACTGAGGGACGAATTAGCTGCTCGGTTAAAACGTGAGGGAAAAGGACAGATTTATACTGGCGGAGACAAATTTGTTGTTAGCAGGAAGCCATCTTAGCAAACCATTTTAGGCTAGACTGCGATATTTAAGACACAAAACAGCATTAGTCATTTTATTTGTCCAGTATGGAACACTCCCTCAAGAATAGTGAGGGATGTGGAGTTCTGTGCTGAGTTCATACGCCGTCAAATCTACTTACACGGCCGTCATAGACGACTTTAACGCTAAAACTTGTGCAAAAGAAGATTGGATTGCGCATGAATATGTTGGCGTGTACGGTACTAACAAAAGGAACGACCAAGATAATAGGCATTGTCGTAAAAGGCAAAGAAACAAACAGTAGCCTACATCTGCCTTCATCGATATCCACATAGCTGAAGTAATTCGCTGCTATGAAAATACTGAACGAGAGAAAGCATGTGAAGCAAAGACCATGTGCTGAAAATGAAATAATTACCCATCGGTATCTCTTTTTTGCTTTTGTCATGAATCCACCTGACTGTTCCTCCGCGGCAACTTCTGGGAATGGTTTCATTTCCTCGGTGTCTTCGAAATTCATACGGGAAATTGCTTTCATCATTGCCTGTTCGTCAAAAGTCAAAGCCAAGTTCCCCAGTTCTTTGGACTGCTCACTCAAAAAGGCGGTTGATGGTCCTGGTTCCTGGGAATTTTCAGCAGCTTGATATTTTCCATTATTTGTTGTCATTCCAGCGCCAGACGAAGTTGATGGCCTGTCTCTGTCATCGATGTTCATCTTAACATCGTCAAAATTAGAATCCAGGTTGGAATGCACTGGGCGCGCCCGTGTGATCGTGCGTTTTTGCACCAGACTTGAAGTACTCAGGTCATTAACTGCATGAATGGTTGTTGCTTTACACCTACCTCTTGCGTAAATAACCATAAATTTTCTATAAAGTAAATGTACAATTTCCATTTGACGGTGGGTCTTTAAAAGTAACCTAGCTGTTCAGTAAAAAATTTTCCCGCCAAAACTTCAAGTACCCGTACTTAAGAACCACGCATACATCAAGGCTGAATCTGAAATACTTAAGCTGTGCTTGGACAACCCTTGAAATTTCAGTTTCCTACCTTTTCTGCCTCTCGAGTTAGTAATTTTCCCGCAGAAACTTTCATACGCCCTTATGCTAGTACCACGCATAGCTGGAGACTGAATTTGAAATGTTTGAGTTGTACTTGGACAGAGAACATTACTCCAAAATTTCAGCTTCCTAGCTTTCCTGATTCTCGAATTGAAAGTGGGCGGCAAAAAGTGCGAACACACACATACACGCAGCCCCTCTTCAATATGCGTTTTTGCAATTTACATATGTGCAAAAAGGGATAAATCATTGGCGACGCGCACTGGGCGGGCTCGTGCGAACATGCGTTTTTGCAGTGTTTCGTGCTGTAATAAGATCACTCGAAATCCCGCTACCTAGATACCTCTGACATACTGGTCCTCGAATTTCGGGAAGTTAATTGTCCACGTTATACTTAGACAGGGAATATGCCCTTGAAATCCCAGGTTTCTAGCTTTCTCAGTTCCCGAGTTACCCAAATTCCAGCCAGAAAATTTCACGGGGTTGTACGTGACAACCACACATGATTGGGGGCCGGATTTAATAAACTTAAGTTGTAGATAAGTTGGGGACATTTCCTGAAAGTTTCAGCCTCCCAGCTTCCCTGGTTCCGCAATTATCCATTTTCCCGCTGAAAACTTTCACGGGGCGGTACATGGCAACCACGCATAACGGGGAGCTGAATTTGAAACATTCAAGTTGTAGATGAATTGGGAACATTCGCTGAAAGTTTCAGCCCCAGCTTCCTTGGTTCCCGAGCTAGCGATTTTCGCGCCAGGAACCCTCACGGGGCCGCACGTGGGAAACGCGCACAACTGGGGGCCGAATTTAAAATCTTCGAGTTATATATGGATGAGGAACATAATCCCAAAATTTCAGCTTTCTAGCTTTTCTGATTCCCAAGTTAGCTATTTTCGCGCTAAAATTTTGAGGCCCTCGTACGCAGGGCCTAGACGTGCATGACGATTGGCACCGCGGTTCTGTGGTGGCACTTGGCCGGGAAACCTACTCACAAAATTTTGGCGCCGGAGTTTGTTTGGGTACCGAGTTGAAATACCTGGACA